CAGTATAGCAAAACCAGAAGTACTGAGAAAGAAATAACAAAAGTGCTAGCGACGACAAACCACATGGCCTAAAGCAAGGAGTAAACACGGTCTAGCTATTCCGTATCAAATCTTATACTCGGAAACCCAACTGAGAAAGTAATTGAATTTAATCAACATCTAATATGCATTTTCATTTTTATCAAAACTCTCCAGCATCGCAGCGGAGTAATTTTGACTGGCTCTTGCAGAGCGCGCGCGGCGTGAAAGGGTACTGCGTAATCTGCCGAACATATTATGTGCACATTACATCGGATCCGCGTATGAAACGCAATAATACCGCCACATCATATCAACTTTCTTTTTTAATAATTGTAAATGAACATTAATTCTCTGAACTAACTTCTAATGTGGAACGATTATGCTGCAAGGTGTGAGTGCTCTTTTCTGGGTTTTCCGTACTTGAGCGAATCGATAAATGAAAAGATCACAGAATAACACATTTCTAACATGTTGCATTTTATGGGTTTTAGATTCTGGAATGTGTTTTATATATATACATGCAGGCATTCTAATGGGATTTAGATGGTTATAAACTTTGAGGAATATATCATAATTCCTTTTTCTTTTTTTATGACATGACCGAATTATTTTAAAAATTAAGAGTTCAGGGGCGCTGGACAAACAGAACCTTGGTCTGAAATAGATTTCTAAACTGGACAAAGACAGCAAAATAATAATAATAAAAAACAATATCATTTCATTTTAATTATATGAGCCACAGAAGTATTATGTCAATAAAGAAAATATTTGACACACATAATTTAAAAATATTTGATTTCTAAAACTGCAAAGCTATACAGTTTTGCTGGGAAAGGAGAAAAATAAAACTTAGTTTCAACTTGTTATTTCTTTGGGTTGGAAATGCAAACATTGCACAATGATCAAAACATAGTTTAAATAAAAAATGAATAATGAATAAATCAATCAATAAATTAAAAAAAATCAACAGATCAACTTCCCTCCAGTATTGTGCTGTCCTGCTTTAAAATTTACCCGTTTCAAATGAAAATTACTCAAAACTATTTTTGAAAAAAATCACCAATCTCGGGTGATGAATAAGTCAAAAGGATGATAGTTATTATCACCTCAAAATCTTATAATCCAATTGAAAATAATTCGGAGACCTTTTGCAGAGCTAAGGGAGGTAAACAATTATTTATGCTTCTGCGATAAAATCAAAATATTACACAAGCAGAATTACATGTTCATGATGAGTTACGCAGAATAAATCGATTTCCTTTTACCTTATTTAAGTTTCTTAAGAGAAAAACAAATAACCTCACCAACAATCATAGCCATTTTATATTCATTTCAACTTCAGACCATCTCAAAAATCTTTAATAAATTAATTAATAGTCTTAATATTTTTTATTCTATTTACACAAATCATGATCACGATAAAATCTTTGGATTTGCCATACTCTAATTGCTTTTCTGATTTATTTTGTGCTGTATATGTCGGATCTAATAAAGACAAATTCCTCAGCACTTTGTTATATACAGCGGACTTCAAGAAGTAGCGCTCATGCAATTTTTTTTTTTGTTTTTTGAATACAATAATGTAATAGATGCTCAGATCCTTAATATTGTGAATTTGGAATGTCATGATGTTCTACATTGTACCAAAAAGAATTTTTATTTGGATATAAATACCCAATCGATGATACAAGATTAAAAAATTAATTACAAATGTATAGAAAGAGGACATGGGCGAATCACCCAAGGAAATATTCAAGTCGACATTTGTATGTGATCATTACACTTGTCTACCCATTATTCACCTTGCACATTTATATATAAAAAAAATATTAGTTATTAGTCGAATGATATGCGGTAATATCTCACCAAAAAACAAACAAACACAAACAACAAAAAAAAAATAATAATAATAATAAAAACAAAAACAAACCAAAAACAAAAATTTAAAAAAAGGCAACTTATGATCCTTTCCTATTAAGTTTATCTAACCTTATGAATTTCTGTACTTTTTTTTTCATAAAAAATGAACCATTTGTAGTACATATGTACCATTTATGTGATTTTGACTGAACTGAATATAGAAATGTATTAATTTTAATCATATAATCATATAGCTCTCTGTCAGTAATAAGCATCATTACAAATAGATTTTAGCTGCAACTTATTGTTAATGTACGCATGATATTAGTACATTTATAAAAATAAATAATAAAAAATACCTTATATAATAAAATATTGATTAAATTAAAAAATTAAATTAAATTGATAGATAGGAGGGGTGATATAATTAATTGCTGGTTAGTTAAAAGCATTAATTAGGGCTGTGTACCATGAGTGGGAAAAGTATCAATGTATCACCATATTTCAAAAATGTATCGCAATGTATCATGATAATTCAAGTTTTACATTTGCTTGTTTCTCATTATTTTTTTTTTATTTAAGGAAGGAAGATGTAGATTTCAGCATTTCTTTTTCAATGGTTTTCAATACTCTTTTTAGATTTTTGTTCCCTCAAATATCAATCAATTATTTAAAGCGAAACTTTAAGGCGGGGGCTGCACACTATACTTCTGGAAAGTATCGAGGGAAAAAATCAATACATTTTTTGTATCGATGTATCATATCGAGCCCCTCTGCATCACAATACATCGATGTATCAATGTATTGTTACACCCCTAGCAATAATCAGATTTAAAGAGATGCTCAGTGGTATTTTTTGACAAATTTTAAAAAAAAACCAACATTTTTATTTCTTTTGTTTAAACAATCCATTTTTAATCTTATTTAGATCCTTGTTGAGGTAGCCAAAATGCATTTTTATTAAAAAAGAAGTCAGTAACTTTGCATGGCTTTGATACAGTTTGAAAATATGGCTAGATTTGTTGAAAAATAACCATCTCAGAAAATTTTCACTAATTTTGATATGCGATTTTTTATTTTGCATGTAAATGACATGCAAAAGGTGGTAAGATTTCATGTGCATTCATCATCGATATATGTCGATAATTTTACCGCGGTACTTATCATCGATTATTTACACGTGAGGCTGATTCAGTGATACTTACTGGCATGAAATCGATACATCATTCGACCTTTACCGTCGAGAAAAAAATAGACTTAATGCCACCAAAATATGGTTGAAATAACTGCCAACTCGACGTTGAACAACATATATTCAATAATTCTCGGTTTGACAGAAAAGACCGAGTTATGTTTCGAGTGACTTGGTGGAAAACCATGCTTTTGTGAATCTTGTTTAAATCGTATTCATATAAGGAATATATTTATGTTTTGTACTAAAGGTAACACATTGACCTGCTTCCATATAAGGCTAGAGCTTTTAAAATGGCGCCTAACTGCATTTAATTATTTTCCTTTTTTCATGAGATCTGGGTTTTTTTTTTTTTTTTTTTTTTTTTTTTTTTGCAATATTCCATGTTATATTCTCTATCGAAATACACAAGGAAAAATAGTTTTGACTTCAATTTCATTTCCGACACATTCATGGTAATCGATATTTCTATATTCGAGATACCAAATTCAACTACATGTATAAAGGCGAAGTATCAAAACATCTATGATGTTTACAGGTCTCTCGATTGTTCCAAATTCTAAAAGGTACCTTTTTCCAAACTGATTTTTTTAAATTTTTCCCAAATACCCCCCTGCAATCCACCCCCCCCCCCAAAAAAAAAATTAAAGAAACTATATTTGGATGTATAATTTAACTTGCTACTCTGATCCTGTATATTGCAAAACAGAAATTAGAAATTTAGTTGATAACCAAGACCAGAAACCCAAAATATGATGACTTTTAATGTGTTACGATTTTCCTAAATTCCCAGAAAGGTCGCTGATTACTCCAATTTTAACAGCCCCAATAACAAAAAGTAATGTGAAAGCCCTGCGTTTTAAATTTTGAAATACAGTAATGACTAAGAAAACCTATAAAATCACTTACATTTTCGTGTATGTTGAGATTAAATCGCATAAAAAATTCACAACAATGAACATATATTGGGATAAAACCATTTTACTTTCACTTTTCCATACACAAAATGAAAACAAAAAAACTCATATACAGACTGAAACAAATAAGAAATCATTTATAGTGTCTCCCTCCCCCAAAAAAGTCAGGACTAAAGATACTAAAATAAACACGTTCTACACTTTAAAGTAAAATATCTAAATACCAATACATGTGTAACCCTTAATTACCCATTTCTCAACCCCCCCCCCCCCAAAAAAAAAAAAAAAAACTTTACAAATGTACATTACTCATATGCTGATACATGTACTAATGTTGTTTTTAATGCAATGCGTTGAATAACTAGCACTTGTACATTTATGTGTTTGTTGCCGTACAGAATAGATTCCTGACCAGAGCTACACGTACATTTGTCCCAAAGTATAATTAAAAAGTTGCGTCCCTTCTTTGTTTGCTAAATTATATGATAGAGAAATGACAATATTATTAACAACTTTATATCAGCTATATTATCAGTAGCTACAGTTCTGACAAAAGGCAAGAAAATACCACTGGTTACAAGAAACAACTGCATCAATATGTCATATTGTAGTTTTTGTATTTATTTTTGTATCAATTTTAAAATGATTAAAATAGTTAATAATACATGTACTCATATTCATATAAATAGGATTTGAATTTACCGGGTACACGTGGTACAATAAATACAAAAATTGCAATATGACAACTAAAAAAAATTACTACCATCCGGTATATTCAAAATTACAATATGACAAATAATTGTGACAAAAAAATGCACAGGATATATCAGTCACATGAATTAAACTGTTATACGCATTAAAAAAAATCAGATACATGAATTTAACTGCTATATGCATTTAAAAAAATCAGATACATGAATTTATCTGCTATACGCATTTAACAAAAATCAAATACATGAATTTAACTGCTATACGCATTAAAAAAATGAATACACAATCAAACGAGTTATAATCAAACGAGTTACAGTGAGATTCCCTAAAAATATGAAATTCACAACAAAATAAAAAAAAATGATAAAAAAGCAACATTTATGCATAAATCTTCTTTTTTTTTTTTTTTTAGATCTACATGTAAACAGGAATATATTAGCCAAAAATCAAGCTACATGTATAGATTCACATCCTTTTGTATATGCTTATGCAAATTTAATACCCTTTCATCAAATACTGCCGTTCTAGGCATTTTCAGTTTTTAAGTTATAAGTCGAGAGTCTTCGCTAAAATCGTCATAAACTGGTTCGTCCAGGTGTTGAACCTGCACCCGAGCCACGACATCCAGCTTCATTTTGCTGAAGTCCTTGACGTAGGTAATGAAGAAACCGAGGAAGGCAAGGGCCGTAATCCATTCAGATACTGAGCTTATTATATGAGCTGTAAATCCCTGGAAAAGGACATGTACAATGTATTACTAATGCAAACGACTTTCGGACGTCTCTGTTAAGACTGTATCTTAACTGGTTTATACTTAGAATATTGGAAAAGTTTACCTTGACTTGGAACACTTCTATTCTAGTTTTACATTTAAAGAATTTTGTCTCCTGAATTTCTAGAAATATCTATTTTTAGTAACCCTAGTTACAACGTTGAACTTCATTAACATCAAACACCGAAAATTAGAATCATGTTTCTTGCACTGCAGCATACTTGTGATATTGAACAATGTTTGTTTGTTGTTTTTTTTTCATTTTATATATCAGTTGGCCAATTAACAATTTAATTCAAAAATATGTAAATGAAAATAACTGGGTAGTGCAGTTAGGAAAGGGAGTGGGTACAAAAAACATCCGATGTACTTGTACCATATTTTGTATCCTGGATTTAAAAAAAAATGTCAGAAATTTATTTATTTTACTAGTGTGTTACACAAAACTATAAAGGTTCAATTTCTTGTTGCTTCATATACATTTAGTTGTAAGTCGATTTTTTCTCACTGAAATAAGATTTTCCATCTGCCAATCTGGTGATGGATATCACATTATAAACGAAAGACATCACCTCAATTCAGTACCAAGTACTTTTAATTGTTTAAATGTTCTTGTTCATTTTTTAAAATCTATTTTCTTTTCTTTTTGTCTTCCCCTTTTTATTCATTTGTCAGCTCTACTGTCTGGATGCTAACGCGATGAAAGGTCTCCAGTATCAACAAAACTTGGTAAACAAGTAGACTGCACTTAGATTACGTTTCTTTTCGTGTTTTTTTAAAAATCTTTATGAACGATGTTGTCATGTTACATGTACTAAAAAAGAAAATTCTGGGTTTTTTTCAATTCCATTCCTCTTACAGTTTTGGTCCAATTTTTCATAAAACTTGGTATGTATGTAAACTACACCAAAATATAAAATTATCAGTTTTTGATTTTGACTAACGGTTCTACTTTGGTTCAATACTATGACCTTGATAATTGAAAGATCAATAAGCTTTTAATCCTGCTGCGGCAGGCTAAATAATTTATCTCAAGGAACAAAATAATGTCATTCCCTTCTTTGGATGTTGAATAAATTTGTCAGGATTTTATTCTATTTGAATCTAATCAGGACTTACACCGTCCGAGGGTTTCCAGTGAAGTCTGTCCTTGGGATGACCTTGGTACCTGGAAATAATACCAAAGACTGCGCCTGAAACGAGAAGTTGAATGCATGCCTATACATAAGTATACTTCTAAAGAACATAAAATAATATAGTATACACAAGGGAAATGCTTTAAAATTATATGATTTTAATATTTTTTCAAACAGGTAAAACACAATCATATACACTCTAAAAAAAAAAAAAAATTAATGAATAAATAAAAAAATAAACATATAACTAGGAAAAAAATATTATTATGAAAGAACACTTTTGGTTTTTAAAGTTAACTTTAAAAAAAAATCAAATAAAATTGGAAAGTTTTCCGTTGTGCAGGTGACATTTGTCTTCCAAGGGTCTGCTGAACATAAAAAAAAAAAACAACAACATTTAATTACGCACATTTTTCCAAGAAAACCCAATTAAACATCGTGATATTTGACATGTGGTTTATCATTCAAACAAATATTAGGTCGTATACATCTCTAGTTTTCCCTTTTGTTCCATAAAAATGAAGGGTATTAGTAGCCTAGATTTGTTACATTGTAAGTATATTTTAATCATTTTCTGGTCAATTGTTGTGTAGACTTGTCAAACAGTTGTAAACTGCAATGATAAAAGGAAATTCCCACAGAAACAGAAAATGAGATATATCTCGCCGACAGCGATCCGTGCTGGAGGACATTTCTCTCTCTGTAGCCATTCTGTCGTAATGAGGGTGAGATGTACTTTTACCTTTCAGTTTTTTTTTTGGGTTTTGTGTAAAGTGCTGATATATCATTATGCAGAACCAGATGCATAGTAAGTTCTTACTTATCAATAGAAACAGAGTATGTAATATTATCCGAACTAGTAATTTTTACATTTTGCCTCTAATTACTAGTACTTCTTTCGGTGGATTTACATGTACTCCTTTAGGGCATGTGCAATGCAAATTTTTAATAATCTTTTAATATTTGATAATCTTTTTATCAACTTATATCAATTTTAATATTTTATGGTTGGTACGCAATGAAAATCAAATTGGCGATTATCCCTTCATAGCGTAAGACCACAAACATGCTTAAAATTATACCTCCCCCAATAGGAGGCAGATTTGGCTTGGCAAAGCTATCTGTCAGTAAAAAAAAATATCGTGTCTTAGTAGTAACTATTGAAACCTTGATTGGAATCTATTCAAACCGTAGTTTTTTGTTGCCCAAAACCTAAAGATATGACCTTGACTCAAGGTCAAATCTCAAAGGTCATGACCTTCCTTATATAACCTTCCTTTTAGGTCATTTCTCAGGAGTCATTATCATGCCATCAAAATTACGTAGTGGTGGCCAAAGACACAACTGAGGAAATTGTTCAAATTGGAGACATTTGTGTCTGTCAAAAACAGATCTACTCCAGAAGATTGTGGGCATGCTGTTTTTGGTTTGCCTTTCTCTCTATCTGCAACATTATCCTTTGCCTATAAACATTAAAAGAAACAACATAGTTGACACAAAGATAAGTCACGATAATCAGATGTGCCACGACCCTGAACCAAAGTTGCTTACGTCCATCTCAAAAATTTCCCCTTTCGCAAATGGACCACACTAAAAGTCATTTATATGTAAATTACACATCTTGTTTGAAATAAGAATGTTTTCTTTCTACATCACAGAGATAAAGATATTATTTCCCGCTAAAACTCCACCATGTTTTCTTTCTACATCACAGAGATAAAGATATTATTTCCCGCTAAAACTCCACCATGGGCATAAAAATGCTGGGGTCAATACACATGACATGAGGAAGCTTGCATATCATTATAACAAAAGATGATACCTCATTATTAGCTCTACTGGTCAGAGAGCAGAAGAGCTTATGCGATAGTTAGGTGTCCATCGTCTGTCTGTCCGTCTGTCTGTTTTCAAAACACTATTCCTCCCACAGTTTTGGTCTGATTTCAATATAACTTATATACATAATACAGCGCATCGGTTTTTGATTTTGATAAACGGTGTTGCCATGGTTACTAAAAATAGAAATTTCTGTGAAATTCCTTTTAAACGCTACTCCTCCCACAGTTTCGGTCTTATTTCAGTATCACTTGGCACACAAGTAGACTACACTAAGATATATAATTTAATGCATGGGTTTTTGATTTTGATTTTGGTTTTATTCAAAAACACTTGCAAATATGAAATTAAAATAGTTTTTAATAGGTGACAAAACTTCGGAATGAATAGAAAAAAAATAATTGTTTCCTGAAGGTTTAAAAAAGTTTTGAGATGGGCTGTTTTAGTCAGTCAGTCAGGAGAGGGCTAACAAACTTTTTTTTTTAAAGATGGCCTTATGGGTTATTTTTTCAGTTCAAGTTAAGCTGGGGTGTTTGTAATCAAGCAATACTGTATCAAAAGAAAAGTTGTCTTACTCATTATAAAACCAAGGAGAGAGATCACACTAATCACCAGTCGAATTCTACAGATTCTTCGACCATTGCAGACAGGATACATTTTATATGATATTGATGTTTGGAGAAACTCATAAATCACTCCACAACCTAGCACAAGAGTAGCTCCTATAACATGAACAACCTCCACTGATGTTTCCTGAAAAAATACAGAAAATAAAATCTTGAGCTGTGTTATTTATAGCTTTTTGTGCTACTGAAAAATATATTCTTTTTATGGAAATTGTAAAGCAAAGTCAAAAAATCTATACTGTACTCTAACTATTATTTGCAACAACTCTATTTGCAATTCATCAGTTTGAAATACATCCATGCAAACTAATTTTTGTGATTTTGAAAAATTCTATTAATATAAATGCACAATGAAATAAATGGTTCATGGTGAGAAATATTTGTGAGTATAGAAAGGTTGCATGGATATTGTTGAATAGAAGTTGGTATTTTATGCAGTGAACTTAGAATTAAGAATATCTATCTTTTGAAAATAAACATCATCAGTTCATAATGTGGTATTTTTTACCCCACCTATATGCTTCTTTTTCAAACACTGAAACCAACAAAAAAAGGTAAGTAGGGAGAGGCCCAGATATTTATCAAAATTACTAAAATGGTTAATCCATACCTGGAAATTTGCGACCAAGCTAAGGCCTAAAGAGGCCAATGCTCCCCATACTAGGGCATGTTTATTGTAGCGCAAAATGGATTCATCTCCAAGTTGGATCATGCTTTGAATGAGTTTGTAACGTACATAGATAGTGCAGATGGCTAAAGAAGAAAAGTTCAAGGAATGAGTATTAAATCATCATATCCAGCTTCTTTTCACTTAAGTTTTCTATTTAAGACATGTATATCATGCATCAACTTTAAACTTTTTTTTTACATCAAATGAGTAAATACTGCAGCAAATTGTTTATTATTAAAGATCCAATTGAAACCTATCAAGAATAAACTGAGATTGTACCTATTGCAGATGATATATTTAAAAGTTGACCAAATACACAACTTTCAGGAATTCTTGTTCCTGTGTCACTGAAATGAAGAAGTCGTGAAATTTAAAAAAGAACAGAAAAGGCAGGAAATTCTAGTTAAGGTCATATGACACGTTCCTTAAATATATGTTTTGAATACCTTGGAATTATATAAAAAAGTATTCATAATTGTCATTCTCTTGTGATTTCTAAATTGTTTTCAATATTGTTTTTAAAAAATAAGCAACCAAAAACTGTTACACTGGCAATTCAAAAGAATACCCATAAGGATTATATTTATAACAAATATCACCATCTGGTATCTCGCCCAAATGCCTGGTAAGGTACCTCCATTTTTGGTGAGGACACTTCTTTAAGTAGCAAAACTTCAATGACAAATTCTTGGGAAAAATTATATATTTTCGAGGAACGTGTCGTCTGACCTTAAATAAATTGTAAATAAACTGATCGAAGAGTTGTAGAACATATGAAATAACACTACCTTATATATGGAAAGTAAGGATTAACATCTTTTCGAAGAACAGCAAAGACATACGCTGAAATGAAAGCTACACATGGCACAATGACTGTAATCAAGGGAAGATATGCTAGCCCCTGACACACCATGGCTAAATATTCCAGGGATAACCGACTTGTCCCAACACTGGTAACATTCGCTGTTTGTCAGTAAATTGTGACTTCAAAACTTTCCCATGTTTGTAACTAACGGCAATCATTCACTTCAATAGCCTGAATAGCATCCAGATAAGTGTTACTTTTGGGAAATGCATTTAATGTTGTTGACAGTTGGATGAATCTCTAATTGCGATCACGAGATAAAAATGAAAGTAGACCTTGTCTCTCATATCAGCATTTTGAACCCGATGAAAAAAACCTGAAGAAATCATAGACCTATGGAATCCGGATAGGGCCATGCAGTTCACTATCGCATCATCGCACTATCGAGGTTTGGGTCGATAGTGCGATGACGCGATAATGCGATGACGATGAAGCGATGGTGCGATAACGATGAAGCGATGGTGCGATAGCGCGATGGCGATGATGCGATGGCACGACAATGCGATGACGATGATGCGATGGTACGATGAAGCGATAGCGCGATGACGCGATGGCACGATAGCGATGATGCGATGGTGCGATAGCGATGATGCGATGGCGCGATAGTGATGACGCGATGCTATATCGTGTCATCGTTATTGCTTTATCGCACTATCGTCATCGTGTCATCGCACCATCGCTCTATCGACTAGTACTTTCTATAACCGGATAACATTCCCAGCAGTCATTGCACAACATGGCGTTTGTTGACGAAAAGATAATAAAGAAATCATATTCCTTCTTTGGAGTAATTATGGTGTGAAAATAAGGTAGGTATTATTAATTGTCATAAGTTATGATAATATAAGTACCTGTATAGGCTAATATTTTCTCTAAGAGTAATAAAGTTACTATACATTAAATTTATAGTCTCATTCAAAGATTGTTTATGTGCGTGTTCTACTTGTATGTATATATCTGTTATTTAAGAAATAGTGATTGAAGTTAAAATCTCCCATTTTAAGATATATTTTATGCATTATTTTTTAAAATAATTAAGCTGTAGACATTTGAAAAGACGCATGACCAGACTTAATTTGAGAAGACGGAGATCATACAATGTGGATATGGCAATAAGGGCTATTCAGGTTATATTGCTTGTGTTTTATTTCATCTTTCTTTTTTGATAGATTGATCAAATCTAGAAAAATCGTCAGTATCATCTACATTTTGATGATAGCTCATTATTTTTAGTTAACTCATACAAATGTTAAAAATTTCATATGATTTACATATATTCTACTCAAAGGAAGAAATGATGTTCAGTGGACAGATTCTTGGGTGTCGTTCGATGAAACGAAGACTTCTTCAGAAACATGGCATCTTTATAGGAAGGTATATTATCTTATTATGATTAATAAACAGAATTCAGGTTTCTTGTTCAAAGTATTAATTTTATTTCTTTAATTCACCAGAATGCCAATTATACAGAATATTTGCTGACATTACTTTTATGAGCTTAAGGACATACACAACATAGTGTTGGAATTTTATTTTCTTATTCCCTTGTTGATTTAATTAAGAGTTCAATAATTGAAAAACCTTTGTACAATTTAATGATGCCTGTAAATGCCGTTACCTCCTCTGAAGCAAATGTTGAGGAAATACCAGCTAACACTATATTTTTGTTATTTTTTTCTTTGAGAAAATACAATGATTTTCATCATATTACATCTTTTGAAAACTCCTGGTAATGTATGCTGTTTTTTTTTTGTCTTAAAACACCTGATGAGACTCTATAATTTTAAATTAGGAATATCCTGGAAAATAGTTGGTAAGGTACACGTAAATGCAAGTTGACCTTAAGAGGCAATAATGCTTTTCTTAGTCAAAATTTGCAACTTCTATACTACTTGACATGTATTTCTAACTCATCTCTTTATTTTCCTTTTCTTTCAGAAGGTACATCTAAAATTAATCTAAACATGCTCTTGGCGTTTTGGACTGGAGCTGAAACAATCCCTCCACTAGGATTTCACAAAAAGCTTGAAATTAAATTTGTGGAAGACCCTGCCTGTTTGCCAAGTGCACATACCTGCGATCTTTTGTTGGAAATATCTAGGGGAGAACCCCCTGAGGAATTTCACAGAAAAATGTAGTTGGCAATCACTTGGGGGGGGGGGGGGGGTGTTCCATCTTGCTTAAGAAAATAACTTTATGTATTCAATGCTATATCTATGTTTTGAAAGTTTTCATTCAATTAATTTTTAAACTCAATAATGGCAATGATAGTCATATTAACGAATAAGAGTATTTCTTAAGGGAAAGATAATACTAAAGGACATTGATAATCATATGAGGAGTATTTCTTCAGGGAAAGATAATACAAAAAGACTTTTTTGTATGGGAATATTAATTGATATTTGGTGTATTTGTGGTAGTAAGCATGCTTTTGAATTTTAAATTCTAGATTGTTGCATCTGTATGCCAAAAAAGTTTTTCTCAGAGCAGTTTGCTTTCCTTATATCCTCATTTTGCAATTTTCATTAATAGTTGTTCTAATGAATGTGGCATGTATGGTGACCCAATAAACATAGTAATAATTTCTGTTTGTGACTTTTAATTCATACACTTTGATGATTAGTGTACAATATTTTTCATGAAAATTGAAAAAAAAGTCAAGTGAAACATCAGGTGATGATTTATTCTCTAATCTTAATTTGGATTTTACAACTTTTCAACCAAGTACTTCAAAGCCTCCATGGCCTTCTCAGTGGTGTTTGGAACAATTCTCCCACCCTCCAAAAGCAAATGATCAAAGTATGCTGCATAGTCCTCCCAACATCCTGTCGAGCTTGGACTAGGAAATAGTCTTTGAAACTCTAGCACGTCATGAATATCCACTGGAAATTTATAATCTACTGCACCTGTACATAAAAAAATGAAGTCATGGTGTGTTGATACTGTTTTAAATTTGAGTACTGAAAAACAACCAAGGTATCGAAGGAGAAAGGTAAACACAGAAAAATATTCAAATTAAAGTTAGTGATTAGACAAATCTTTGCTAGGAAAAATACCAAAAATTTCAGGGTGGAAAAACATCATTTCTGGTTTTCCTGGGAGATTTCCATCATCATCATAGCGTCTTTGTGCTCTGATGTAATGGTTATTCCATTCTGTTTTTATTTGATCAAGTTCTTGTTGGATGATTTTCATAAAACAGAAGCGAAGGCATTCTCTAAATTGGTAAATTTTAAAGGTCAATTTTGAAAACAAGAAAAAAAAAATCAGGGTGAAATTTTTCCTGTAAAAAAATGTTTATATTTCTTAATATTTCTTTAATTAGAAAAACACTTATAAATGGTTGGTTTAGTCTTAGTCATAAGGATTTAGGTAACATGCAGAAATATCATAATAGGTTATAAATGCGTAAATTCTTAATTTTTTAAAGTATAAATAAAGAATTTATTTCTCTTCTTACATGTGCTCGTTATTTGCTGATGAGAACATCCCTTGGTCTTCCATGTCTTTGAACAAGTCTATCCAGAAGGAGATGCCCATCTCTCTCAGTGTTCTCCACCAGCGTTCAATTGTCTTAAATCAAAATGTGTTTTTGAAGAACTGAAGGCTGATTTTTCAAAAGTAGGTCAAACTTCAAGGTTATTGAGTACAAATGTTGGTACATTCACAAGGAATACACAACTTCCCTGGGATCAACCGTTCAAAGTTATGGCCAAGGTCAAAGTTTTACAAAAGTAGGTCAGTAAACTCCAAGACAGATTTTTTTTTACAAGAAATACACTTGAGAAATACGAAATCTCTAATATCAACCATTCAGAAGTTATGTCCAAAATTAAAGTTTTTTCATAAGTAGGTCGAACCCTATGGTCAAGGTCATTAGGTCAAAAAATGTTGGTGCATTAAAGTCTTTGCAGATAAAAATACAGACAGACCCAAAGCTATATGGATAAGGACCCCGAATCTTTAATCATAGGGGCATAAAACAATCACACAAATTAGTCATATATTAATTTCATAATGATACAGAAACAATAATATGTATATCAAATTATGTGCAGAGATATTTTAAATCATTAAACTGACTTCATTTTCAAATATTTGACAACAGGTTTCTAGAAAGGGGTATGGAGAGGGGTATGGGAGGGTTATCCCTCCCCTGGGTCAGAAAATTTATAATAAAAATGCATACAAGTCTGTTGCATTCTGGGGGTCATTTTTTTCAAATATGAAATAAACAAATAAATAGCAAAACTTTAAACAAAATATTGGTGTTTTCAGGGGTTGCAATTGCATCTCCCCCCCCCCCCCCCCCCGATGGCTCTGTAGTATAACTAATACTATAAAAAGAACTGTGTCACCTTGAACTCTATTAAATGAAACGGATGCAAATAATGAAAGTATGAAGTTTGCAAAACTTATTATTTCTAAAATTATCTGTGGTATCAGATTACACAATGACGCCTATGAAAGATAATAATATGAAGAATTATTTTGGTCTTTGAAAAGTAATAGTGAAAATAATCAGTTGATCTATTTTCCCTCAGGAAAAATGTTCAGAAAAGTAGAGAGTTTGAAAAGAAACTTAAATGAGGATTACACATACAAATTTTTAAAGTATTCAATTACTTCAGTTATTTGATCTTATATTAAGGACATACGCAACATACCTTACCTACTGATAATTTTTCAAGATATTCTTAATTTAAGATTATAGTGTCATCAGATGTTCATAGACAAAAAATTAGCATGCATTACCAGGGGTTTTAAAAAGATATCAAATGATGAAAATTCTTGTATAATGCAAAGAAAAATATACAAAAATAACTAAACATATATTCTAAATGTTTTGTTTACCCAAAATTGTTGAAGAAGAAGTGTACAACAGAAAATATGGACATTAAAGTTTAGCACACAGTTCTTTTAAGTATTGTAACTCTTCAACTCCAGGGAAATAGACAATAAAGTTCAAACTACGTTATGTATGTCCTTAAGTTGGGACTAACTGAATTGACTGTGATTGGAGTAGTAGACCATTCAGATTTGATCAAGTCCCCCCCCCCCCCCCCCAATTTTCAAATCAAAGGGCAAATTACTCTAACTTCTACTGCAGGAGTGTTAACTGGAATTGGAACTCAGTCCTAGGTGTGCAGATTTTAGAAGGTTATTAAACTCATCTGATTTGTTTAAACAACATAAGTTACTAAATCATATTGTTATTTAAAAAACAACTTCATATTCATACCTGGTTAGACATTGATCTTCCTTTGATAAACTCTTTTCTCCACACATGTCATCATTATCGTACCAACGGAAGGATTTTTGAATGCCCTCAATGTATATATTCTCAGTTCCAGTATCAAGTCTCACACACCTTGGAGCACCTATGTATTGGAAAACTCATACTACCATGAACTGAGACAAATATGGTTTCTTTGTTCAAGTAAATATTTTTTATAAAATAATGCATTTTATGTGTATATTTATTCTGTATCAATACAAAATAATGTATTTAGAATGTTACTTAGTAGAAAATTAACTTGTGAAAATTAAACTGCATTTACAGTTTCAGGAATATATTTATCATTGATTTGTAAAAATTATATACTCAACTATTTATTTCCTCCATGTATTTCAAGAAATATGATGCTACAACAAAAGAGTCATTGTTTGTTTTTGCAACTTTAAGCCATAGTATTCGTCTTGAAAATCTGAAAGGATAGGAATTTGATCATTTAGATTAATAGTTGATATTGTTTTCTGATATGTAGCTACAACAGTATATAACAATCATAAATTCTATAACTTCATAAATTCTTGTAATCTTACATGACTCAAATGAACACTAAAAACTGATGCACATTAACTTACCCACACATTGCACCATGTATAGCGAAGCCAAATGGCTTCAACTTGTCGTACCCATCAACATGTGCAAGATAATTTGGTCCATTGCTTAGATACATTCTTCTTGTCAAGCAGTGACTTGCTCTTAGATCAACTCCATCAGGATCGATTATTCTCAATAAACACATGTTATCCCTGGAACAGTATATATATATAATTAATCATCAACCATTTTAAATTCAATAACAAAAAAAATAAATTCAATGAAATTATTATAAATATCTTATTTATATAAAACTCATTATAAGCAATAGGCACATCGTTTGAATTCTCTTTATTAATCATAATAAGATAATATACCTTCCTATAAAGATGCCATGTTTCTGAAGAAGTCTTCGTTTCATCAAACGACACCCAAGAGTCTGTCCACTGAACATCATTTCTTCCTTTGAGTAGAATATATGTAAATCATATGAAATTTTTAACATTTGTATGAGTTAACTAAAAATAATGAGCTATCATCAAAATGTAGATGATACTGACGATTTTTCTAGATTTGATCAATCTATCAAAAAAGAAAGATGAAATAAAACACAAGCAATATTACCTGAATAGCCCTTATTGCCATATCCACATTGTATGATCTCCGTCTTCTCAAATTAAGTCTGGTCATGCGTCTTTTCAAATGTCTACAGCTTAATTATTTTAAAAAACAATGCATAAAATATACTGTATCTTAAAATGGGAGATTTTAACTTCAATCACTAAATAACAGATATATACATACAAGTAGAACACGCATATAAACAATCTTTGAATGAGACTACAAATTTAATGTATAGTACCTTTATTACTCTTAGAGAAAATATTAGCCTATACAGGTACTTATATTATCATAACTTCTGACAATTAATAATACCTACCTTATTTTCACACCATAATTACTCCAAAGAAGGAATATGATTTCTTTATTATCGTATCCGTTGAAGAAATATTCTTGAATCTTTTCGTCAACAAACGCCATGTTGTGCAATGACTGCTGGGAATGTTATCCGGTTATAGAAAGTACTAGTCGATAGAGCGATAGTGCGATGACACGATGACGATAGTGCGATAAAGCAATAACGATGTCACGATATAGCATCGCGTCATCACTATCGCGCCATCGCATCATCGCTATCGCACCATCGCATCATCGCTATCGTGCGATCGCGTCATCGCGCTATCGCTTCATCGTACCATCGCATCATCGTCATCGCATTGTCGTGCCATCGCATCATCGCCATCGCGCTATCGCACCATCGCTTCATCGTTATCGCACCATCGCTTCATCGTCATCGCATTATCGCGTCATCGCACTATCGACTCAAACCTCGATGGTGCGATGATGCGATAGTGAACTGCATGGCCCTATCCGGATTCCATATAGACCTGAACAAATCAACAACATTTTTTTAAAATTGTTGTTTACATCTTAATTCTAATTTTTAAATCTATAATATTTACGAGAAATAAAACCTCTTGAAATAATATAAAGTGTTTGTAATAACGTTCGAATAGGATTTATTAAAATGCAATATGACCCTCCCCTTCTTTATTAAAAAAAAATGAATGGATGGAAAAATATGAGATTAGGTGTATTTGATCACAATGTAGTAAAATTAGTCAACAAACAATAGTGTGAGTACTTTTTATGACCACTACTCTGAAAAATACAGTGGTCATCATAACCAATGAACCAGTCAAGCGTCACCGTACGGAGATGACCATTGTTCATAGTCTGCTGGTGTCCCGGGCGAACGAGACAATAGCTTGTGTGAGGACAAATATCACAGAATTATTCTAAAGTTTCACTCATTCTCAGCAACGAACCGAGCAACATGAGAGGGGATCTTTGACAAGAAGGAACCTTTAACGCTTAATGTGAGTATTTACCTGCATGAACATTATCTTTATGTAAATGATTGATTCAAGATCAGGAAAGTATTTCAACAAAGTAAACTGAATATCAGTAACTTTTATCTTGTTTTTCAGCAGTTTGTTTCAGGCCCGTAGAATTAACGTGGGGGGGGGGGGGCAGGATGCCGACCCCCACTTTTTTTTTGAGTATCTGAGTATAGTATTTTGCTATAGTAATTTTTCCTTCAGATGCTGGTTGGCTCGATCCCCCACTTTTTGATGTTTTAAGGTCGAGCACTGGCAAATACCAGGGTATGGACAATAAATAGGGTTTTTTTTTGCTGGTCAGATAATTTTGGGAAGTTGGTTCACCATTATTGGTCAGTTAATGTTTTTTTTTTTGTTTTTTTTTTTGCTTGTCAGATTTCTTTGGGAAGTCCCCCCCCCCCCCCCACACACACACACTTTTGAAACCGTTGCTACGGGCCTGTGTTTTACAACTGAGCAATCTGAGTAGATTTCACTGTCATGGGTTGTATGAGAATAACTTATGGAACATTATGAACTCCCATACACAATACATTAAAAAGATTATGTTTGAACAAGTAGATTCCTTAATTGATGCCATTCCTTATGGGAAATAAACTAATGATCATAGGAAGAAGAAGGGTAAAATCTCTGAATTCAGTTACGAAGATATATATTAATTTGTAGTTTCAACTAGCTGTATACTATATCTCTTAACAGTTCGCCAAAAGTAATTTCATTACGCTATATCCACAGTTGTACAAAATAGCTCGTGTAATCATTATCCTAATTTTTTTTTAACATTGTACAATTTCTTAAACTTGACAGCAGTCTCTGATTTGATTAACTGTACACAATACAATGAGTTGATTGAGGCATAAAAATGCACGATCGCTGTAATTTGTATTTGTGAAATATCATTTCTAATTAATCATCTTGTTTTACATTTTCCTTCCTTGTGAAATCAGTCCTGCCATTTTTTTTTTAAATTTGCTAAATATAAAACTACCCCCAGGCGGGGGTGGGGTGGGGTGGGGTGATTTAACTAAGAATCCTATCGCAAAGAAGCGATGTTTTTAAATATTTCAATATGAATTGTTTTATATGTACACTACAGTATAATGTATATATGAACATGTTCATACATATTAATCATTTATTTATTCTAAATAAAATTCACACGACTTTCGGAAAAAAAAGATAAAGCTATTTTGAAAGACTTAATTAAGCTACATATTAGCCTATATGTAGCTATCAAGAGGTCCATGGGCCTTGACGGTCACCTGGGTGTCATGAGTTTCTCGGGCTAGGAAGTTGATAAGGTACAATGTACGCGTATAAAATTTACATTAAATTTCTCCTTCACTCTGTTCATCCGCAAATAAAACATTTCTTTTCTGAACCATAATGGAAAAAGACTAATTTAAAATAAACAAAACATTTATTAGTTATGAGTTATATACTCAGCTCTACACAAAATATTTCTCTGTTTTTTCCCATTCTATAATGTACAATTTTAGATTTTATATACATGTATTAATACTTTCGCAGCAGATTCCGATGGAGAAATCTTGATCTATATTTAAGATTTAATGTACAATTCTTAAGATATCCATTTATTTTACTTATAATATACAATTCTGAAATTAATATCATCCTTTGAAAATATAAATCGTAGATCAAGAACAGCCCCTATCATCTTCGTGAAAACTTAACATTCTACAACGATAGAAAATATAATTATATCAAAATAACAATTAACAAATTTCAATTTGCTCGTGCTGATTTTCTTCAAGCATTGTACATGTATTTTCTAACTGAGTATGAACTCGAATGAATAGAACAAGCAAACAACTGTTTAAATACCCAAGACATTTTACTCACATATCAAAGCGCATACTACTATCTAATTCATACGCTTAAGAGAAAACATATCGAACACTCTACACTTAAAATAGTTCACCTACGTGTATGCTAAAGAAAAGAAATTAAAACATGACCAACTGAGCCCCACACCATAGGATGTGGATCCTGGGCCCGGGGACATGAATTTTATAACATTTTTAGAGGGCTAGTTGCTCACAAAAACAATTTGCTTGCGAAGTACGTGAGTAAATGTTCAAAGATTTTCGAAGATGTAATGCACTTTCAATACATAACCAACTTAGCCCAACACGGGGGCCTGAACAGTGGGTCGTAAGGGCATGCATTTTGCAAATTTGGTAGAAAGCTATGTAGATTTTCAAAGATATAACGCATGTTCAATATATGTCCACCCTACGACCTAATCTCTAGAAGAAGGAATCATGAATTTTATAATTTTAGTCAAGGGTTCAGCACTCATTGTATTCATCCAGTTTGTCTGCATGATGTTCATTGTTCACGTGTAAGGAAGAAGATTTTATGATTTTGTGCATTTTCAATATATGTCCAACTTAGCCCAACTCTGGAGCCTGAACAATAATCCCAGAGGTCATGAATTTCCCTATTTTCGTAAAGGGTTTATTGTTTTTTTTTCTAATCATGCCAATAGTTTGACTGAGTAAAGAATATTTTTGAAAATTGCATTAAATTTGTTGATTTTGGTAACACCTTTTCACAATCAAAGGGAGGTAGAGACCATGAACTTAAAAAAAATTTCTTTACCATAGATGCTATGTAATAAAATTGGTTGAAATTGGTTCTGCCATTCCAGAGAAGGTAAAATTGTTTAAAAAAAAGTTTGCGACCGTCCGACGAGGCAAGTCAAATGACAATGGACTAAAACGGATAGCCAAACAGACCTGTAGGAAGGGGGGTGGGGGTAGAGTGGGGGTATCAATAGGAAGCAAAAGTTTTTTTTACGGTTGTGCCTCTTCAATAAAAACGTCAGGGACTTTGTTTTTTACTTTTCATGGAATTTCTGATTGGTTGTACCCCCTCCTCCCCAACTGAAATTGCTTCCTACGGGCTGTTACATGTAGGTCACCTGAGTAATTGAGGCTATTAAATGTCCGTAAGTTTCACTTGCTTGAATTAAATACATGTACAAATACTATAAATATCATCAATTGACACTTTTTTTTATGAATTTAAGATTGAAAAACTACTTCAATCTCCCACACTTGTTCAGATATATTTTGATCAGGTTCACCTAAACTCATAAGCAGCATTTATGGCTCCTAGATGTAAAGTCTTAGTCTAATGCCAAGGCATGACTTCTAGCCCATCTAGAGGAGGTCGGAAAAAATAATGCTATAATTAGTTTTCGGAGCAGGCCTTTTACCCATGTAACTTTAAGGTATTCCTGGATCAAACTTGCATGATTGATGGATCTGAGGATGCATACTACTAGACTTGCTTCAGATCGGTCTTATAATCTGAAGTCAAGTGTGCAGTTAACTAAAGGTTTTTGGAGTGGCCTAGACCCAAGGAATTGCATGTCCTCCTTGCCTCAAAATTGACACATACATCCAGTGGTGCTTCTACTAGACTTTGATTCAGAAGTTCTATCTGGTCTACCTTTGCAAATGAGTGACAAAAAGGTTTTGGAAAAATGTTCATTTCTAAGTAATTACAAGCCCAGTGCCCAGAAAACAAAGGGTGGCGTGTTTGATGGAAACCCTATGGAGGGAATACATATCAGAATCCTTTTCTACTTTATAGCTACACAGACATTTAGTGGTCTGTGTTACTAACCATGATCGATTGTGACCTTGTCGAAAGATTTTAACTTTTTTCCAATTTAAAAAACAAGAATTAAAACTCTTTTATGACCTATCAAAGTTATTTTAACTATAAATCGACAACAATTCTAGTATAAAAATCGAAAACAGATGAAAATAAAGAGTGTAGAAACATGTACAGGAAAGGCTTTGCCATGGGAGGGGATAGATATATGCCCCTCTTATCACTAGAATGAAATTGTATGTAATTGTTAGAATATTTGTTATAAAACTTTAAAGTTCAAGTATGAGTCGGATATATATATATATATATATATATATATATATATATATATTCCGTATGAGTGGTTTTAAAAAATGGCCATTGGTTTTACTAAAAGCCAGGTTGCAGATAAAATATAGTTACGTTTTAATATTTGTACTAGAAAGTGATGATTTCTTTCTTGATTACAGTTGATGTCGAGCATGCCATTGTGCTTCTTTAAAAAAGTTAATTTGGAAAGAGGGGTTGGGGTGGGGAGGGGGGGTTACGAAGGAATCCTGTCTTTTAAAAGCACTCATTATGCCTCACTTGAAATACTAATTCAATTAATTTGACAAATTCCAAATTCACAGCACTTTAATGTTTTGACTTCAAGTATCTATTAAGAAAAAGATATGGATCCGCCCCTGTAAGAACTAGTTGTCAATGACAACTTCGTTAGGTTTCATTAATCGTGTAAACCTATCTAAGGTACGAAACCAACAAGGATGTTAAAGTTCACCTTTCGTTAATTAATTAAGCTATAAACAGACACGGGAAAAATACTACAGGAAGCTCTTTATGTAACAATTTATTTTTGCTCCCTGCAAGCAATATAACGTAGGTAAATAAAACGGAACTTGTGAAAATTAGATTTACATGAAGAATAGGAAAATGTGGGCGATTATTTAAGTCAAGGATGTAGGGAGTGAAGAATGTAGGTAACATTAAATTAACTGATTCGGAGTTTGATGGGGATACACCAGAAGTAAAAAAAAATAAAGGGGGGGGGGGTTACGCAGTAATTCAGTAATTTTTTCTTCAGTGTCAAGAAATGAATGATTAAACTTCAGCAGCATCAATTCCTCTGCTGCTCCATGCAGTTGTTTCCAGTTTAGGACAAATCAGAACCGTAAACAAGTAAAAAGTGGTGTTGTATGTGTATATTAATTACTCTCCTCAATACAAAAAGAATTTCGTGTGAATACCTGACATTTGTTGTTCTATTTGATTTGTTTTGCTACTCTATGTGACCTATTGACCAACACGTTGTCTTTTCCTGTTTTTATCTCACCGGAGCTGAACAGCAATTGCAAAATTTTAAAAGCAATTTCGTCTCTTGTCGGAATCTGTCGTCTGATGCTGTTTTGTTTGTTTATTTATCTATTTATTATTATTATTTTTTTTTTTTTTAAATTTTTTTTTATTAATTTATATTTAAATCTTTTCTACATTTTACGACTTCTTCTCAAGAACCACTTTGTAAAGAACAATTTGACATTATTATATAAAATCTTGGAGAGCAGAAAAAAAACGTTCATTACAGCTTCATTATTGAGTGTATATGTAGATTCAAGTTTGTACCAATCATTGCACCCAAGACCTAAGCTGAGGCCACAAACGGTTTCAAAGTTTTGCACAAAAAAATGGAGCGAAAAAGTTTTTAAAAATCTTCATAAAATCAGCATGCACAGTACCAGAAAGAATCAAATTAATATTAGTTTGTAACCATTCCCTGTGTGTAAATTCAATTTTTCCATTTTTTTTTTAAATCTCATTTTTAAGAACTACAGGGCCATAATGCGTCATATTTTAAGTTAAGCAACAAAATGTAGAAACACACACATATATATGTAGGTATCCCTATGCATGTTTTGTGTAAATTCAAATAATAAAACCTCTGTGAATAAAGGATTGAGCCACACCAGAAATAGAAAGTTCTACACTGGACTAAACCTCGTCAAAAACATCGAATTTGAAATGAAGTTAAAGGAATTAAAAAGAATAGCCAATGGTTTCTAGGATTAGGACGACAGTAATTTGAATCTCCTATTAACATGAGAAATGGAAAATTGTATTGTATTGTAGCCCATGGGACTAGTAAACTACTTTTTTTGCACTTATACGCACAACAGTGACAGTGATCAAGAGCAGAGTATTTTTCTTCTCAGAAATGTGAATGAAACAAGTCTAAGTCCCATAAATCAAGACAAAAGACATTTTTATGCATGTGACATTAGAATGACAAGACTGTACTTATCAGTTCTACCTGTAGCATCCATCGTCGACATTCCGTATAAGGCTAGTGCACTATTACGGAAATTCGGAAAATAAAGCCAATCACTGAATCTTACTATCTTTGATATCCTGGGCAATCCACCGATTTTATTAATGTATTTTTTGTCAAATGCGAGAAGTAAATCAGGCTGTTCTACAAAGTCTTTTAATATTTTTTCTGTAGAAAGTTCTCTTTTATTCGATTTTAATTTTTTTCCGGAATTCTTAACTTAGAAGTAAAACTTAATCATTTAAAAAAATTTTTAAACACCGGTTTTATAACTCATCCTTCATGAATGATTTCTAATTATGAATGATTAAAAAGTAAATGCAATCATAGGGTAGTTTCTTACGAGTTTATTGAATTATTCCATGTCTATCTATATCTAGATTGGACATATATATATTTTAAATATTCTTAATCTTTATTATTAACCATTATTTCTAGACTATTTAAATTCAAACATTTTAACCATTTAATTTTTGAATCATACGATTCAAGTCCCTTGTATTACGAAAATTTGGCCCCTCCTCTCCCTGGAGGTATAAAGAAAATCGGTAAAAAGAATAAAATTGTAAATATTTACATACATGTACATTATTGACTCATACATGTAAACAACATTGTTTATCATAATTAATTGTTGATGAGCCTTTCACTTTTCTTATATGTTAGAGTTTAAACTGAAATAAAATTGCAATAAATGTTTCACCGTAGATTTGTGTATTAGGCGTGAATAAATGATCGGAATTGTCGCATGCAGAAAAAAAAAAAAAACATGAAAAAAAAGTAATCATTCGATTCTTTCGTTTCCTTGACCACAAACTGACTCATAATTGTTTTATTTGAACCCAATCCAGATTGAATCGGTTAAAAATAAAATATTCATGTTAAAATTGAAAAAAAAAATCCCCATGTTTTTATCCAACTGTATATGACCTCTTTGCTTTTGATTCTTGTTTTTTGATTTTCCCTATAAATCAAGTTGAGAAATTGCGTCGTGTAGTGTATGTTCTTCTTATACACGGAGATGACGACATCTATGATTTTCCCGTTGGCAGAAGGTCGTTACAACTGGTATAAAACTCAGTGACCACATACAAGTGCATTATTTACCTGCTTTTATTCTTACAGGACTTTCATGCTTGGTGGTCAGATAGATGCGTGACAGATCATAGGAGAGTAAAAGACCAAAAGTACAGTCAACATGACTTCTGTGGAATTCAGACATCGCTATGTCGAAATTGAAGAAAATAACAACCCGTTAATGAAGAGAGTGAAGCAAAATGTATATTGTTCGTACAGACGAGTTTGGAAGTTCTGGGCTTACCATTTGCCGATTTTGAAGTTTATTAAGTATTACAAACTCAAAGAATATTTGTTCTCGGATATCTTGACTGGGTTAACCATAGGAATCATGCATATTCCACAGGCACTGGCATTTGGGATGCTGACTTCTGTCAAGGTAGAGAACGGACTCTATACCTCACTTTGGCCAATTTTGTTTTATGTCATTTTTGGAACATCGCCTCATATTTCCATGGGGACGAGTGCAGTTATATGCATGGTAACTGCGGGTGTTGTCGATATGCAAGCGGAAGTATTCAAATCTAATAACCAACATTTGTTTCATGCCCACCTTGCAAATGCTAATGGAACTATGCAAAATGCAACCACAATAGAATGGACGGACATCCCAGAGTTCATGGACTTCAAAGAGAATGTCGCAATGAATATTGCACTGTTTTCGGGCCTCATTCTTATTTTCATGGGAATGTTCCGGTTGGGATTTATCACGTTCTACTTCTCTGTGTCATTCTTTAGCGGATTCACTTCCGGTGCAGCAGTTCACATAGCAACGAGCCAGATGCCTGCTCTTTTGGGAATCGCAGTTAAACGATACTCAGGACCTTTCAAAATAGTTTATACCTATAGAGATATATTTCTTGCCATAACAACGGTCAAAGTCGCCACAATACTCATTTCTATCATTTGCATCGTCATCTTGCTTGCAGTTAAGGAACTTAACGAGCGTTTTAAGCACAAACTTAAGGCTCCCATTCCCATAGAGCTCATCGTCGTCATCATTGCAACTATTGCTTCCTACGTTTCGAAGTTCGATGAGAATTATGATGTCGCTGTTGTAGGGGCTATTCCGAACACCATACCCGCCCCTGTTTTACCAGACATAACGGGTGTTCAGTATTACTTAGGTGATTGTTTCGTTGTTGCAATCTTGATTTTCTCCAACACCATTGCCATGGCAAAAATATGTGCAAAGAAACATAACTACGAATTAAATGACAATCAGGAAATTTATGCGTATGGCATTTGTAATTTTGCCAGTTCATTTTTCAAATGCTTCCCGTCCGCCGTCGCTCCACCTCGTTCGATGATTCTCTCTTCCATGAATGCAAGGACGACGATTAGTGGTTTGTTTTCGGCCCTTCTTATGCTTCTTGTTATCTTAGCAATCAGCGAACTTTTCTTTTTCCTGCCTAAAGCTGCCTTAGCATCCATTATTTTGGTGGCCCTGAAAGGACTCTTCGTACAAATGACGGATGCCCGTAGGTTTTGGAAAATCAACAAGTACGATTTCATCATTTGGCTTTGTACAATTACATCAGTTGTTTTCATCGATATTGACTTTGGTCTTGGTATCGGATTGGCTATATCACTTCTCACAGTCGTATTTCAAAGTCAACGTGCATCAGCTATGCGTTTAATGAAATACAATCCAAACTTTAGGACAGTACGAAGCATTCAAAAGTTATACTCATTAAGTCCTGTTAAAATATTTGTGTATAAATCCAATATCTTCTTTGCTAATGCTGAAATGTTTAGGAGCAAGCTATACTCTGCGACTGTCAATCCAAGAAAGTTTGTGAAATTGTTGAACAAGAAAAAGGAAATCGATGCAAATAAAAAAGACACTGAAAAGATCACTCAGAATGGAGCAAATGCAACCAAAAAGATATCAACTATTTCCACAGAAAGTGGGTTAAGCAATGCTTCACCCGTTTTCACGTCTCTATCTTTAGAAGATTCTATTTCAAGTCCCAATGTTGAATCGTTCGCCAGCCAACTAGACAATGTAGAGGCTAACCCCATACATTTGGATTCTGCTTATGTGTGCTTGCCCCCTCCATCCCATGTGTTGAGTTTAGGATCTATTGACACAATTCAAAGCTTAGAAACCATTGACTCTGGATTTGACGAAATTTCTCATCCAAAACAACTCTTATCTGAGTACATGAGAACTCGAGTCATTATTCTCGAAATGGCATGCGTGAACTACATCGACGCTTCCGGCTGCAATCTCATCGTCCATATTCATAAGGAGTATTCCAAACTAGGTATTCGGCTTCTCCTCGCAGGGATATCTGAAGATGTGTCCAAAACATTAAAGCACTCGGGTGCCTTTGATGCCATCCCTAAAGATGATCTGTATCCAGATCTTACGGACGCCATTGTATCTGCAGACGAATACGTGCTTCAACCTTCCAAAGCAGACCTAAGTCCCACTTCACATTCTGTAAGCTTCACAGACGAAGAAGCGGCGGAGGAATCTTATGTAGTGCATCTGTAGAGTCAAGTGGTCAAGTACTATACATACAAGTTTGCAATCTACAAGTGAAGTTTTTTTTTAGTTTACATGGAGGATGTCTCGTTCTTATATTATTTAATCTGACTTTGCAGCAATCTAACATGTTTCACTGTTATATAATTGCACATTGAATTTTTTTTACATTCATATTCATGTGAAGCAGTTTTATTTACCAGTTGTGCTAAATGTGTACTGTGTACATGTCGTACATACATGTATTATAATTATGTACTTATATTTATGTTAATAAACTAAGTTATTTTCATAAGAATTGTTGCTATGTTGTTTCTATAAAACAATATAAAGAAATTGTCAAAATATGGAATTTTCATACATTATCAAATTGTTTTATAATGTAGTTTTCTTTTTTTCTTCCCTTTCGGGTGCTTGTTTTTTAGTTTCAGAAATATGTATTAGAAATACTCATGGTGTTAATGTATCTTTTGTTCACAGGTTAGCAAAAGTCTGCAAAATATTGAAAGATTTGATCTTGACAGGATTATATAACTGGCAAACAGAAGGTTAATTGATAAGGTAGACATGATATAATGAAAGGGGTTCTTGGATGATACTTAATTACAGCAACAAGGCCAACTTTAAAATAATGTTTGTTTGTCCTCTCCCGACTCAGGATGAATCATTTGGGTCGGTAGGTAGGTTGAAAATTTTTCAACATGAATGCTGAATTTTCAAGATGTATTTTTTGGAATGCTTAAAAAATGATTGTTTCCTGGAGATTAAAAAGAAGTTTTGAGTCGGGACATTTTTAGCCAGTCGGTTGGGAGAGGGCAACTAAACATTTTTTAAGATAGTCCAAAGCATTTTATAATGAAATATGGAGATAACGAACAGTTATCAATCTCAATTTTGAAACAATACAAATCAGGAGCAGAGCAAACACGGACCTCTAAAAAACATCAGAGTGGGATCAGGTGCCATGTAGGAGTAAGCATTCCTGTCAATCTGATTTCAATTCTCTGTAAGGACCAAAATATTACTGTAGGGCTGTGGCACACACCATGAGCGATTGATTTTCATGAAACTTTTTCAGGTAATTAATGCCCATACAGTATGATATAATCAACATTCAAAATTAATGTTACTGCCTTGGTTGCCATGGTAACGGGATAACATAGATTTTTTGCCCCATTTACTCTCATTTCAAGCATAAAAATGCTATAAACTTGATTTCATGTGGTTAAATCATCTTTATTATTTTGAGATAATTCATACATTATATGAATAGAACAAATGACAAATGGAGCATATTATAACACAATTTAAAAAATTCTACAAGTCACTGCAATTTCTTCAATTGGTGGCTCAAAGATGACCAAATTCTTACATTTTGAAAATTGCCATCTTTACCCTATATTTCAAGAAGTCTCTCAAGAAATGCAGGCAATTCAAGAAAAAAATCACCTGAAATTTTAAAAATACCATAATAATATTAGTTAACTTTTATGAAAAGTAGAATGGGGATTTCTTTCGTTTTCAGTATTTTTAACTTCGAAAATTGGCATTTTGCCAAATAATATTTTGTTCAAAATATTACCAAACACTGGTTGTTTTATAAAAAAAAAAATTTCCAAACAATTTTTCCTCCAATAAAGACAAACCGAATGATTGATAAATAATATTAAAGATATTAAATAAGAGAAAACAAAATTAATTGACACTTACTGTTGTTTCTCCTATGATCCTTTACAAAGGGCAGATAACTCAAAATCTAAAGAAAATTAGCTATTTAACTTTTCACTGGAACTTAACCAAGTAAACAACATTTTCAAATGCTAGATAAAAAATGGAAAAAGGATAATGGATTAAAACTCTAATAATACTTTTTTCAACCCAAAAAATAATAAATAAATTAATAAACAATAATAAATTATTACTTGTTCATACATAGGTAGGTAGATTATATTTTAGCAGGTTTATTTGATAAGCTAATGTTAATTTCCTCCATATAAATGTTGCTTGTTCCCAGATACATATCTTTATATATTAATTTTATTCAATTAAAGCAATTTCGAATTTTTAAGACTGACCATAAATTAACACCTCATTAGGAATAAAACCATTAAATTATAGTCTTACAATCAGTAAAAATACACATATTCATGTGTATACATTTCAATTTATCGTTACTTTGATAAGCAGTCTTTTTTTCAAATTATTAATATAGCAAGAATCTACATCTGAACGTTATCCAAAATGTGAATATAAACAATGTGTAGAAAATAGCTAGCCTATTATATAACAATCTAATTAAGGTCTGACGTCACGTTCCTCAAATATCTGTGTCTCTTTGTACATGTAATATATAAAAAAAATTCAAAATTGTCATTTTCTTGTGATTTCTAAATTGTTTTCGAAATGTCTTTAAAAATAAGTACATCAAAAATTGTAACATTGGCAATTCAAAAGATTACCAAAAAGGATTATATACAGGAAACACCACTCTCTGATATCCTGCACAAATGCCTGGTAAGGTACCTCAAATTTTTGTAAAGAAACTTGTTAAAGTAGCAATATTTCAATGACAAATTCTTGGAAACAAGATGTGTTTGTGAAACACTGATGCCCCCGTATGGCAACTTATAGCAAAGGTTAAACTTTCTCAAATGCAAATCAAAGATGTTGGTACCCAAAGTAAGGTCTTGTCTCGAGGAATATACCTGTGAAATATGAAAGCCCTAGCAGCAACCATTGAATAGATATGGAAAAGGTTAAAGTTTTTCAAAAGTAAGTCAAACATCAAGGTCAAGGTCAAATGGTCAAAATTAATGGTGCCTAAGGAAAGGCCTTCTCACAAGAAATATACAGGTGAAATATGAAAGCTGAAGCACCAATCGTTCAAAAGTTATAATCAAGGTTAAAGTTTTTCAAAAGTAGGTCAAACTCTTAGGTCAAGGTCAATGGGATTACAATTGTTGGTATCTAAAGGAAGGTCTTATCACAAGGAAAAAACATGTTACATATGAAAGCCCTAGCAACAACTTTTCAAGAGTTGTGTCCAAGGTTAAAGTTTTCCAAAAGTAGGTTAAAGTCCAAGGTCAAAGGGTCAAAGTTGTTGGTATCCAAAGGAAGGTCTTGTCACAAGGATTATATATGTGAAGTATGAAAGTCCTAGCACCAACGGTTCGAAAAGTTATGGCCATGGTTAAAGTTTTTCAAAAGTAGGTCAAACTCCAAGGTCAAGGTCAAAGAGTCAAAGTTGTTGGTATCCAAAGAAAGGTCTTGTCACAAGGATTATATATGTGAAGTATGAAAGTCCTAGCACCAACGGTTAGAAAAGTTATGGCCATGGTTAAAGTTTTTCAAAAGTAGGTCAAACTCCAAGGTCAAGGTCAAAGAGTCAAAGTTGTTGGTATCCAAAGAAAGGTCTTGTCACAAGGATTATATATGTGAAATATGAAAGTCCTAGCACCAACGGTTCGAAAAGTTATGGTCAATGTTAAAGTTTTCAAAAGTAGGTCAAACTCCAAGGTCAAGGTCAAAAGGTCAAAGTTGTTGGTATCTTAAGGAAGGTCTTGTCACAAGAATTACACATGTGAAGTATGAAAGCCCTAGCACTAATTGTTCAAAAGTTATGGCCAAGGTTAAAGTTAGGAAAAAAATTGCAAAACTGGGTCAAACTCCAAGGTCAAGGTCAAAAGGTCAAATATGGTGGTACCCAAAGAAAGGTCTTGTCACAAGGAATACACATGTGAAATATGAAAACCATAGCTCCAACCAATCAAAAGTTATGGGCAATGTTAAAGTTTTTGCGGACAAACAGACAGACGGACGGACAGGGCAAAAACTACATACCCCCGAATCTTCGATACGGGGGCATAAAAATATATATTATTGAGGAACGTGTCGTCTGACCTTAAAATCAGATCCTTTGATCCGCTCACATAGATCGCTACACAAGGATCTGCAATCTCTACCCAGAGTTATCGTTCCTGCTTCGCTCCACTTATAGCGCAGCGTAATACGCCCTCTGGTGAGAGATTGAAGGATCTGAAGAAACCCCATTTAGGGACATATCCTGGTGACCTTTCTAACAAAAATATTCTCTAAAATTTTGACCAATCAGAGAGATCGTACTTAAGCGACATTCGGGAAAATGGATACATGTAGAAGTGAAAGTAGCTGTGGAGAAGATCTTATCGTTTTGTACAAAACAAAGAGCTAAAAAACAAAACAAAAACAAAAACAAAACAAAATCAAAAACAAAACAAACAAACAAGGCAAAAGCAAACACTAAATAAATTTCTGTATAGAAAAGACTGTGGTCGCTCTTTTGACAGGCTACGGGAACCAGGTCACGATTTTACGTCCGTGTATCAACGGAGGCTTACACTTCTGTAACTGAATTCCGAGAAAGAAGCAGCTTCGCTTGTATATTTGGATACTTAATCCACGCCAACAAGTTTGCATTTTTTTTTGACAAACGTCCAAAATAAAATTATACTCAGCGATGACAACTTTACTTAAAAAAAATACCTATGTCTTCAATTTGGATTATTTTGTTTCATTTTAAAAATGCTTCGGCGTTTTATGGAGAGAGAGTACTCATAATCATCGCCCTAAGGTTTAGAATTACAATGGATCAATTAGCACCTTTGTAGCGAATGTCACTAAATTCCTTGTATCAACACGTTAACATGTTGTTTGTTATTTATTTTTACACATTATAAACATCATAAACTGTGTGGCAAATCACAAAAACGCGGTCATAAATACGTGATATAACATGAAACATCTCCAACAGGGATTATGACAATCGCTGGGTAACATTAAACAACATACTTAGAAAAAATAATCCCGAAAATGCTGAGTTTGTATATTTTTTTTAAAGTTTAAAATTTTAAACGTATTTTTTTTTGTTCAATGCTTTGTTTTTTTGTTGTTTTTTTTTTTAGATTTATAAAACAAATTCAAAAGGAACAACTAGTTCGGAGATATATGTCATTTTTTTTTATTCTTAATAAAAGATTGGTAGTTCTTTTAAATAAAGTGGCCAAATTTTAATGAAATGTCTCAACGAAATAAATGTTAAAAAATCAAATGAACGAAACATTTCTTTGTCATTTAAGTAGTATAGATGAAGTGATTAAAAAATCGTTGTGTATAAGATTTTCTGAGAATTGTAGCTTTTGATATTGTAACTATTGTAACAGTAAGTTATATTCAACAGGGAAAAGAACTCTAATATATTTTAGCGAGATTTTTTTCTGACTCGATCATTGGTAAGCGAAATGACTTATCTTATTAAAGATCCAATGTCTTTTAAACATTTTTGAAGAACGTTAATTAGAATCTACTATTAGGATTGAAATATTGAATGTTGATTTAAGAAATGAAAAGTTTATTTCATGTTTGTCAATCGCCATTCTCAGTTTTTTTTCCACACTCTTTTCCCCGTACTTCTAATTAATTAATTTTTTTTTCACACTGTTTTCCCGGCACTTTTAATTTATTAATTTATATTAATTAATTTATTTATTTATTTATTTATTTATTTATTTATTTATTTTCTGGTTTCAAGAAGCGCGTATGATATCTAACATAGTCTTAGATTTCGAAAAGTAATGGAAGCTATCTTTACGATTTATCTCACTTTGTACCGTGTCCGCATTAATGTCATCATTAACCAGGGACAAATGATTATGATGGAAACAAATCATGATCGATATACCAAGTAAGAACATTTATTTCAACGTTTTTAATAGGTAAAGAAAATATCAGTATCCATTTTCACAAAAAATCACAAAATTTTCCCATTCTCTAGCAAGTAACTAAACTGTATAGTAGGTCACAACAAATCTTGTATTTCTATGACATTAGATTATACTAGAAATACTATTTTAGATAAAATAAATATATTTATTAAAGAAAAAATTAAAGAGGTTTCAAATTTTTATCTTAGTCGTAATTGTTTTTTTTTTTTTTGGGGGGGGGGGGGGAGGGCCAGTGATCGCCATTTCTTGATTACATGAAAACGCTTTCAAAACTGTTGTACATATAATTTTTCTACATCGAAATGGTAAAATTTTTGATGTCCTAAAGCGTAAGAGTTAAAAAAAAATTACCAATGTTTATATTATGAATTAATTTTTGCAGCTGTTTTCTTTTCTTTATATGTCTCTAAAACGTATGTATTAATAAAAAATCACTGGAACTCTTTTTTTGTACGGAGGAAAATGTTTATGGAAAGCGACAACATTGCGAAAAAATATGCATTTTTTCAGCGCATACATCTGTATACAGTATCAGTAACCATGAGTGTTACTTTTCAACAAGAAATATTTTTTATTTAATTATCTATTACTTGTTTTTTTATCAGATAAGCCATTTCGCTTAAAGTAATAAATACAAAGAAACAGATTTTTCTATAATGGATCTTCGTTTTTGAGTTTATAATTTATTTAACCCCTTCCCCCGTACCAATGATCGAGTCAGAAAAAAATCTTGCTAAAATATATTAGAGTTCTTTCCCTTATTGAATATACACATTGATTTGATATAAGTTACAATTCTCAGAAAATCTTATGGACCAAAGTTCAGCCAACAAAAATAATTTGTTTATATTAAAAATAAACAGTGGTCTATGTCTTATATGATCATGGAGAAATTTTCTCTCTTTTTTGGCAGTTTTATTGAAGCGGTGACCTGGGAATTATCGCATATGAATCGTCACTCTCTGCCCATCCTTTAACCCCGGAACCAAGATCAAAGTAACGTTCGGTATAAATAATTAATATGCCGCCAAATAAGACATTTATCTACATTCAAGGTCTGTTTATTTTCGCCAAGAATCCCTTCTTCCGATGACCAGTACTTTTAATGCAGTGAATTCAATGGTTTTTGTCATGTTTGAATTCATCTTAAGAGGGTACATATATCCAAAAAGTCTTTGTAATAAATTTTTGAAACTTTGAATTTTTTCATGAATTTGAGGTTGATAAAAAAAATACCTTCATTTGCTTGTTTTTCTTGCTAGAGCATGTGCAAAATGCACAGAAACAAAACAATCCATGGGATTTCAAATGAAGCCAAAACCTTAAATTTTTGTTTTTAAAACCAATGCATGTACAAGTCTCACTAAACAATAAATCTTTTGCTCAAGGTGGTATGGGATAAAAGAAGAAATTTCTATACCATATATTTATTTGCTTAAATTAGTAGGCTTTAAGTACCCCCACCTTTCAGTATGTCAAATTAAATTAAAAATCGCACTTGTACATTGATAATCTGAAAACAACGTATGAAGAATCGCTTTCCAAGACGTGTCTCGTTCATTGCAATCCGAATTAAAAGATCCTAATGGAAGAGGTGTACTTTTTTATTTTAAACGGTCTGAAATACTTTGGGTGCTATTTCAGATATTATGAGCCTTTTTTCAGGAGAGAAAAAAAATTAAAAATCGTACTTTCGTGCAGTGATAGTTCTAGATGAAAACAATGAATGAACAATCGCTTTCCAAGATGTGTCTCCTTCAGCGCAATTTAAAAGTTTTTGGGCTGCATGTGACCAAACACTTACTTCTTTCATAAAATAAGAAGGAAGACCAGTTCATGTTAAAATGAAATTAATTGATTGGTAATAATTCAGCACAATGTGAAGTAATCATACTTAAATTATCCATGCCACACCGCATACAAGGTGATGTACTGTTACTCAAACAATGGAAGTACATGTACATGTATTTGCTTAAAAGTGTTCAAAAGCAGCTGTGTTTGAACAATCTTTTTTAGGGTTTTTTTTTTTTTTTAAATGTCCATTGTACAAATATTAATAGTTACCGACTTGCTAGTTTTTTTTTTTATATTTTAAAATAAAATGCCAACTTGTGAAAAAAAGTGCATTAAAATAGGTTCAGTTAGTTCTTTTAAACGGTGTATCTTCAAATTTTAACCCGATAATAAGCACTCAATACTTCAAACGGAAGTACGTCATAACGTGAAGGTGTCCCTTGTTACCTTAAAATATAAGTTATGGAAACGTACATGTATCTAGAAACCAGTAAAAATGAACATTCCATATGTCCTTATCTTAAAATGGGGAACTATAATTTTTTTTTCAATAACAGAGCGCAAAAGAAGCAATAATCAATGTTATAATTTGCTAAATACTTCGCTAATCCGATACATGTACAATGTTTTGTCGTGCGTTCGTCGTTGACAAAATAGAAAGCATTTTCTATAAAATTGTCTTAATGTTTTGTGGGTTAATTTGATCGGATTTCTTTCCATGCTAATTATATGAATGCGGTAATAGTTCGTAATTTTGTCCGATGATGAAAATCACTCTATTGAACTATTGTCATAATTATCCTATTATATTAATAACAATTGGAAAATGTTTTACAACTCAAATAATATTAGACATCAGTATAATATTTAATTATCACAGTAAACAATTGAAAGAATTAAAACAAATAATTCAAACTTTCTATATTACGATGTAATGTGTTTTTATGCCTTTTCATATACTGTATATCAACTATCAGTTTTAGTGGAAGCAAAATGTAATTAGATAGCATCATTAAAATAAAATAAAATAAAATAAAAAGGAAATCAAAGTTTTTGAATCGATTCATATGTACATTTACTCATCAGAATTCATTGTTCTTTGTTAAAATCATTTTATTTAGAATCTTATTTTATTTTTTAATTATTATTATTATTTTTTGGGGATTGTTGAATTTTTTTTGAGAAAAATACATTTAATATGGGAATGACCTAATTAAACAGAGAGTGGGAGGGGTCAGAAAACAGCTTTCTTGTATATGTTTTTAAAGATTTCACAAAGGTCTTCTTCAGATTCAACGCAATTACAGATTTAAAAAGTAGGCGGGGCAAAAATATTCAACACAACAGACTATCATCGTTTCTACCTATATAAGTTTCTCGCGGTTTTAATTTATTCTTAATTACCACAAATTAACATTCAGCGACAGAGCTCGTATAAAAGTGTGAAAATTGACATTGTACGTTCTTGGCCGTGCCAGTGGGCCCTTGAGTCGAAACAGCTTTTGTTTTTCTCCCTGGTGAATGATTTTTTCATCGTAAGGTAAGTTTATAAATTTTTTATGAAAATAAAATGATGAAACGATCCAATAATATAAATACTATAAAATAACAAAATTATACAGCCCACAGATTGTCTATTATTAACAATCACATGGGGGACCGGCATTGCACTGCACATTAAGAAAAAACCTGTACAACTGCTAGAATGTTGTTTTTATAGCGTGTGTCAAACGCGCAATAGATATGTCAAGTGTCGTCTGGCGATGAAAACAGTGAATTATCTTTTATTTCGATTAATCATTGATAATCAACTAAAAGAATAAAAAAAAAATGTTTTTTGCTAAACCATTTCCCTATTTCCTTTGCAGTTCAAATAATTTGCATATATTAAAAAAATAATAATTTTTTTAGAAGTCAAATATGAACAGGAACATATTCAACTCCTTTTCTTTACGAAACAATCATAATAAGTTAATGCAAATCCCTTTAGAATTACTATTAACCCTTCAGAATTAATATAATTACCGTAAATCCTTCAACTACAGTATTTACCTTGTCCGAATTATTACGTAATGTTTAGCACCATTTTAATGAAAAATTACCAGTCAACCAATATGCATCTTTTCCATTTCTTAAAAAAAAATCATCAGTGACAGTGGAACACACTTTTTAAAAAAGTTCCAACAAGCATAAGAATTGCACCTGAATTATGTAAACTTCAACATAGGCTGACATCTCACTGTCGCTTTTTGATGGCTTTATGGGCTATCACTCATATGCACATAAAACGACTACGTCACAATGTACTACCGTGGTCTTTTTTTCCTTGTAGACCAGCCGTAGTACAAAAAGAAGACGGAACAGTATGCTGCGATCATCTTCAAGTGTAGACGGCCTGTCGATGGAGGATAAGAGCGGAGATCTGAAGGACCGACGGAAGTCCTGTCCGGGCGGTACTACCCCTGTGGACAGTACCATCCTCATCAAACGTCAGCCTTATACCCAGGTGGCGTTCGACGAACTTTATTTAAAGGAAGCAAATCCGGATAAACCGCCCTTCTATCAGCGTGCAATAGAAAAAGTTTCATGCACTCCGAAGAAAGTGTTTAAGGTTCTTTCCGGGTTTCTCCCAATCATCAAAGTCATTCGTTACTACAATATTAAGGAAAATGCTATCATTGATATTTTATCCGGAGTTACCATTGGAATTTTGCACATTCCACAAGCTTTGGCTTTTGGATTACTCACCTCCGTGAAAGTGGAAAATGGACTCTATACATCTGTTTGGCCGATTATCTTGTACATTATATTTGGAACATCTCCCCACGTTTCCATGGGAACAAGTGCTGTCATTTGTATTGTGACTGCAAGTGTTGTAGACAAACAAGCTGAAGTATTTAAGGCTGCCAATCCGGATCTACGATTAAATTTTGTCAATGCGTCTTTAAATGCAACACTTCCGGAATGGGAATCGATCCCGGAATTCATGGATTACAAGGAGCATGTGGCAATGACCATATCATTATTCGTCGGAGTTATTCTACTGATCATGGGTTTCTTGCGTCTTGGATTTATCACCGCATATCTTTCCGAGTCATTCTTTGCTGCATTCACTTCCGGTGCCGCTGTTCACATCGCAACCAGTCAGCTTCCACCACTACTGGGAATTTCCATTCCCAGATACGGCGGTGCCTTTAAGATTGTCAAAACTTACAGCGCTCTTTTTGGGCACATCACAGAAGTAAATTTTGCCGCCATCATCACAACTGTCCTTTGTATTGCGTTTATCTTCATAATAAAGGAATGTATCAATGAGAGATTCAAGGACAAATTATTTATTCCCATTCCAGTTGAATTGTTGGTGGTTATCATCGCTACTCTTGCTTCCTATCTTGGCAATCTGTCGGAAGAGTTCGATCTCGCAATCGTCGGAGAAATTCCTTCCACTATACCTCCACCCGTTTTACCCGACACAACTGGAATTCAAGATTACTTTGTCGATTGTTTTGTCATCGCTATTCTCATCTTCGCTAACACCATTGCTATGGCAAAGGTTTGCGCCAAAAAACACAACTACGAAGTGGACGACAGCCAGGAATTGATTGCATACGGAATGTGCAACTTTGTCAGTGCTTTCCTGAAATGTTTTCCCTCCGCTGTTGCCCCACCAAGGTCTATGGTTGCCTCCAACATGAATGCTAAATCAACAATTAACGGAGCCTTTGCAGCTTTACTGATGATTCTCGTTATAATGGCAATGAGCGTTCTGTTTGAACCCTTACCTAAGGCTGCCTTAGCCTCCATCATCGTGGCTGCTCTCAAAGGACTCTTCATCCAAATGGGAGACTGCAGAAAATACTGGAGAATCAACAAAATAGACTTCGTCATTTGGTTCGCAACTATCTTCAGTGTTGTTTTCCTGGATATTGATTACGGTCTATTCATCGGTGTCGTCGTTTCACTGATAACTGTTGTCTTCCAGACCCAGTTCGCTCGCGGGTACAGACTCGGTAGAATCGCCAAAGACGGTGCCATTGTAGAATACAAGAGATACGCCGATTCTGTGGAGGATTCCGGAGTCAAGGTTTTCCGTTTCCAAGCCAATCTGTTCTTCGCTAACGCTGAAATTTTCCGTAACACACTGTACAGATGCACTGTCAACCCGAGGAAACTTTTGAAATTCTTGAAGAAACAAGAGCGCAAAGGAGGTAACAAAGAAAAGAAGGTATCGACCGACCTTACATCAGTTACCATTCCAGGAGAACGCAAATCTTCCCAAGTCAGTATTAACTCAAATGGCAAAGGCTCAATTATTAACACATCTTCAACAGCCACCCTCACCAAGAGCGATAATCCTGTATTTTCAATTTCCGACGAAAATCTCTCCCGTACATCTAACTACTCAGGAAATGGAAATTACCAGGGCATGCCAAGACAGATGTCAACGGCTTCCAGTCTCAGTCAACTGCCTTATGAAGAAGATCCAGACACTGGAGATGAGCTTGTTACACCCGAGAAAATTAGAATTATGCGCAAAACTCATCACATTATCATTGACTGCTCCAACATCAATTACCTGGATGCTTCCGGTGCAAATGTACTTGGACATATTTACACAGAGTACGATCACGTAAAAATCAAGGTTTATTTGGCTGGCTGCTCTGTAGATATGATGAAGACAATGTCCCAAGCTGGTGTATTCGATAAAATCCCGAAGGAGAACCTTTTCTTAACGGTGTACGACGCCATCGCTGTTGCAAAGACACAATCTATTCGCCCACTTCCGCCCGTGGTTGAAGAATTCGATGACACGGAAGCAGCCGAAGATTCCTACATTACAAATATTCAATAAGCGTTTAACAAAGGGTCTAAAAAATCCAATTCAACTCAAAGATGTTGAATTATTCAACGTCTCCAAAAAAAATATATGCCGAAATTACCCGACATTATCTGTGACTTCCTTCCTGTCCGGAAACTGGCAACATCGGCAGCAAGAGGAACCAGTTTATAGACACTGCGACCAAGAAAGTCAAGACTCCACAAGTATTAGCTTTATCTGAAGCTTGTTGTGTTTATGTACACTCAAATGTTACTTTGTTTCAGAAATGTTGTATTTGTACATATAAGTATTTTATGTTTTGTATTGAATAAATAATATAGCTTTTTTTATCACGTGAAAGTGCAATACCAAGAAATATATGAAATAACAATTCTGCTCTAGTACCTACATAGATAGATTTTAAAGAGGACACTCTGTACATAACAATAGGTTAATTTTTTAAAAACTTGATACTAACTATATGCGGACTAATTTGTAATCAGAGTTATGACTTTATAATTAAGATTCTACTTTATGGGCATTACATGTATGTTTCAAGCAGTTTTGTGTTATATGATATTTCCATCGATCAGTCCCCTTTTAGAACGAAGGGTATAAATTATAAACACAAAAAGTTTTATTTGTCTTTATTCTTATTTTAACTGTCATGTACATCTGTTCAACACTTTGATAACAGAACAATGGAAGAAGTGTCACGCAAATTATCAAATCATTAATTTAATATTAAATTTTGAAAACGGTAATTTTACGAGTCTGAAGAATATTTTATGTCAGAACAACCAGGTACGGATTGCTTAATATATTTTGCCATGTTTTAGAGGACACCAAAGGTTATTGTTTAACATGCTAATGAAACATATGTCTTTACGGAAACGTTGTGTCAGGAATACGCCTATTTAGGCATATATTTCTGACTCATCTCTTTGCAATTGTATATTAATTGCATCATATAAATAACATAAATAACGGAGATCAAAATAAATTTTGTTGAAGTATTATACAAATTTATTTCCCCAAAGATGCAAAAGTACATATATACATAAAAAACATGAATGGGAGATCGAAAACATTTCCGGCTGGTAATTGGACAACTCGAGAGGATGTCCAAAACGTCTTGACAAACACATTTTTTTTGCGGATATTGTGACACCTTTTTTTCGTACCACACATGGCCATTACCTTGCTTTTTTTGTTCAACACGGGAAATATCTTTTGAAGTTTTATTCAAACTCTCATAAGAGTCGAACGAGAAAGGGGAATTTTCAGAACCTTGTTCCATGATGTAATAACATGGGTCGGTGCGCGGTTTATGATCTCATCCAGTCAAAAGTGACACCGAAGAGACTAAAACGGTTAAACAAGCACATTAAGTGGTCAAAGGACGGGACAGTGTCCCATAAAACGGCGACAATCAACGTTCATCAAACGAGAGCAGTTGCATAGCTAAAACATATTGGAAATGCCTGTTATATACAGAAATACCGAAATGGAATATTTAAAGTCTATAAATAGGGGAAAACGTTCATCATAATTTCTAATATTTTATCGTTAAAGGATTTTGATGTTAAACCTTGTTTTGATCAAAGTCCGTTTGTAAAATTAGGATATGTTTTACCATCATTGAAATTGATTCAACTACATTGTACATTCATTACCTGAATAAGTATTCTGAGATGGAAATGCTCATTTTCTTTCCATTTTCATCTCATAATTTATGTATGATATTTTTTTCGTATTATTTTTAACACATAGCCATTTCAAACCAATTATGCCTATTTCACTTTGACCACGGGTGCAGATAACATGTCCATCCCTTCAAAGTCACCTTTTTCAAGTTCGTTTGCGTTTTGACAATCAATATGACAATTACACATTTTAAGCCTGTCTGGCATTTTTATACGTCTGTCTTCAAACATGTCATATGCGCATCTGAGCGCACATTTAATGATATATTGCTAATGTCCTTCTCTTGAAGTGTCGCATGCACGTCAGTCTCTTGCTATTTTAAAATATATTTTTATGACCTAATTACTGAACATTGTCAGACGGGGACTGGACGAAACAATCCACCATTTACCTACTGTTGACCTAACTACAATACCCTAAGGTCAAAGGTAAGGCGTGAAAAAGCGAGAGTTTGACAAATGTCCGCGGCATTACTTTTTATGTATTTGTTTGATTTTCGCTTAGAGTATATCAAACTTATAATATCTTTAATGAGGATTGTGAGGAACTTGAACAGGGACGACGCAGGAGGCTTTTCTTAGCAAAAATTTCACGTGGCTCTTTAGCACGATACCTTGACTTTCAAAAAGTTCAATTTTCATAAATAATTCCGCTTTTATATAATGATATTTATATATGTCACGTGACTTTTCACAATATTTTAAGTTATATAACTCATAATCTTCAATATAAATCTTAATTGCGAGTCCTTCAGTGGTTTGCAAGTCATCCCCGCTTAACCAAATAGCCAGGATTTGCGTACATGTACTAAGCACCTCGCCAGGAGAACTGTTTGCTTTACGTTCTTAACAGAATTTTTCACTCGTATTGGAACGCTACAAACTGCATGCAAATTTAGAGTTGGTCCCAATTCCATAAATTAAGAAAGGCTCTAAATTTAGATTTTAAATATGTTTATAAATCAACTTGTGTCCATGTTTGAAAAGTGGCAAGTTTTTGAAATATTCCAATATAAACACTCAATGAAAATTTAATTTAATTTTCTTAAATACTTTTAAAAGTTATACAGACTTGAAACTTTGACTTGGATTCATTCTCAGTTTATGGTCTTGGGCCAGTACTAGTTAGGCACTTTTTGCAAAGGAACAGTAAGGAGTCTTTTTCGAGCCAATACCTACTGCATCATGGGGCCTCGGTTTATACGGTCTCATCCGAAAAACCGGTTTTCACGTCCTTCGGTGGGATATTAACCCATTACGTAAACATCATCTCCCTGCTCCGCAACTCTAGGGTGTAACGTTTTAACAATTGTGCGTTTACTGATTTTTATTTGAAAATCAAAATAAGTACACAACTATATATTTTCAAATAAAAATCAGTAAACGGCAATTAATAGCGTCAAATATAAGATACATATATGAGATATTATACACAATATGTATTATCATTTTCAAAGGAGATTGGCATAAAGATCTCTTTAACAAACTTTCAAGTCAAATAATTTTTTTAATCACAAAAAAGCGTTACATATAAACTACCTGTAACAGAAATAATAAAAAAAATACTTCCTGTTTATTATTTGACGTTTATTCACAATAAAATGCATGAGCTGTGTGTTCATTACCCCTTACGCAAGTTTTATTATAAGGAGCTGTATTCTTGAGAAAAAAATCTTTGTCAGCACTGACCTTTAAACAATGGAAATAGGTACATTTCCATTAATACGTTTCTACAATGAAAATCTGATGATATATGTTAAACTTATATATATCGGCTGCCTAAAATATGCTTGGTCCAACTAGAGAAGGGTAAAAATATCTCATTGGAATGTTTGTTACATTGTACTTTAAAAACATTATATGTATTCATGTTAATTAATGCGTACATCAATTTAATCGGTAGAGGTAGTTGCAAAATTTGATTACTTTCTGACTAAATGCAGATCTTGAGTGTTGAAAATGTTCTTGCTTTCTGAAAATGTGCCTACATACAGATTCTATTGAGAAGACGCCAAATATACTCAGTAGAGGATGTTTCACAGACCGAGGTGAAGGAAAATGGTTTGCCATGGTGAGAAATATGGTCGTGAACCATAACCAGTCCTTGATTTTATAATCTTCATATTTCACGTAAAGAACGTGAATGCAATTCATGCAAAAAGACTGATTTCATTAAAACTAGATTTCACCTTTTATGAACCTGATTGTGAAAACACTTTTAATCTTACTTTCTATTTTTTCTTACTTCTGACAATCTTCCGTATTTTAAACTCTACCATCTGTTTTTTTCTGGAGGGGGATATATTTGAGCTTGTTGGGAAGGCCCGAGAAACTGCAATTAGGAGCTAGAATAAATTTAAAGGTCATGCGAAACCTCGGCCTATTCCGTATCTCCTTTTGAAAAACATATTTCCGTTTCCTCTGGCCCCATTTATAAGTAGGAACGCAGAAGATCCTTTCACTTGGAAGTTAACATAAATATTTTCATGATCAGCTAAAAATTCAAGAATTTGAGGCGTTGCCAAATGACTTTCACCTCAATATGATAATCAAACGACAACATCATTGTTCATAATAATGAGGGATTCAAGTATACAGTTTGTCTACATTTCATAGGTCATACGGTACGTATCTTTGATACGGAAACTTTAGACTCTTATAAACTAAAAATAACTTCTGACAATTTTTAGACTTTATTAAGCAAATATAACATATAAATCATAGTCCTGTATAATTTGTAAATCACGTGAAATTTTTATTTGTCAGTCGAATGTGTAAGAACTTGCAAACCACAGAAATCTATGTTCTCAGTATAAAAGGTGTCAAGTTGCTAAAATCCTTTCCACTTTTAGATTATTATGACATATATAGGTTGCAAAATTGCTGTAAAAACTTTGGATATGATAAGTAACAAAATGTATTTTAAGATGGAGGGTTATCAGAAAGATAAATTGGCCCTGCTGTAATCTTAATTAGGTCATATATAAAAAGAAGCCCAAGATGTATAAAACGGGGAGTAGTTAGGAGCTGTTCAAAGGAACATTTTGTTATTTTTAAAATGCTTCTCATTAAGACTTTCAACTTTTTTTGTTAAAAGGGTTTAAAAAAAAAACAAAAACAACAACAAAAAAACAATACATGCTTTTTCTTTTTCCGAAAATTAAATTTTGTATTGATACTTCTAGCTTTTCAAAATTGTGCGCCATATATATTTTTGTGTTTTTATAAAGGGAGGGATAAAAAAGATGTGTTTGTTTTTTAGCATGTTGTTAAGAAAGATTCCATCTCTTGTAAATTGGGTATGATGTGCATAATGTAAATATTCCTCAGACGCCATGGATTTTTGTTGGATAATCATTATGGACTGTGTACAGTACTTGCTGGACATTTTGTGTTTTTTTAAAAAAAAACAAAATTATGTGTTAGCATTATACAACTTGTAGACCTGCAAATATTGGCTTATTTCGATCGGAGACCATCGAATTGAAATTAGAAATGACAGTCTTTGTTAAGACATTGTGTGCTACATATTCGTTGTTGGTTTAATCATTGGAAGTTCTAAATTTCTCTGAATTTTTTCCAGGAAAGTTCGTTTTTATGTGCTTTAAATGACGGGATCCAAAGTAATAATTCATGAAGTGCTTACAAACATGTTATTTAATAGTGAAGAAATTAATGAGTTACCAACAAATTGCAGAAATTAAAATGATACACGAATACTAAATTGGAAACTGTAGACAGAAGACATTTTTTTCTATCTTGAATGACGACGTTTGGTTCAACGAAAAATAATTCCTTTTGTACAATGTCCGTTGAGAAAATGTTACTTATTATTTATATTCTTATTATTTTAGTTCATTTCAGGAAACAAAACCGTGACATTCTTCCACACTACATTAATATTGTTGAATCGGTGGAGCATTAAAAATCTCTC